AACAAAGATTCAGTAATCAACCTCTCTTTCCACCAACCTAGATTACTTTTTAGAATTTTAACCCTCTCCCACCCTATTGTGTGGTTGTGTGTCAATGCATGCATTGCAATTGCCGAGCTTTTTTCTAAATTACTTATCTTCTCTGGGTCAACCATTCTTACCTTAGCTAAATTCTTATGTTCTGACAATCTGACTATCCTGACCTACTAGTTTGACCTATGTAGTTGACCTCACAGTCATTGCAGGGTATTTTGTAAATTATATTATTTTGTCTAATTGGGTCCACTGGGTCCTTTAACCTACAGAGCTTGTCCCTGAGTGAGTTTGTAGGTTTAAATGCCACCCTAATTCCTGCTTTATTTAGAATCCTACGTAGGGTCTCAGATGTCCCCTCTTTATATGGTATAACAGTGGATGACTTATATTCTCTCTTATTTATGTTATCATTACTAGTTCCATAATTATTTTTATTTTGTTTTTGGCCTTTAGTTATCTTCCTAATGAATTTTAAAGGATAATTATTCAACACCAACGCTTCTTCTATTTGTTTTATCTCGTCGTTTAGGTCTTTTTTTGTGCTACTTAGTGCTATGGCTCGGTTTGTTAGACACTTAACTAAGCCCGCCTTAACAGTTAACGGATGCGACGAATTAAAATCTAAATATCTATTAGAATGCGTTGGTTTTCTATACACACTAGTGTGAAGTTTACCTTCTTCTATTCGTTTTATTTTACCATCTAGCATAGCTAACTCTCCTTGATCATCTTCCGATTCAAATGTGAATTTTATCCCCTCTACTAGTGAGTTAATATGTGTCAAGAAGATAGAGATATGTTCTGTTTTTAACACTGTGAAATATGGAAAATAATACTACCAATCAAATCAAGTGAAAATCAAGTGAAAAACAATGGAACTATATAAATGAATTTAGGAAGTCGTGTGATTAACTTGATATGATTATGAGCAATAAATTGTGCTCGAAACGTCATCAGTAAATATTACTGTATAACACTGTGAGACTCTATCAAAATAAAATTTACCCATAATGGAATTACACTCTACCACAGTGCCCAAGTTTTATTCTTATATCAATGATCCTGTTGTTTTTGTCTATGTTGGTGGTGGTTTTGGTTGGTGATCTCCATCATTTCCGTCTCCGACTTATTTATGTTCACTTGGAGTCCTGCCTTCGTTGCCAGCTTCTCCAGTTAGTTTGTTGATTTCGCCTGTAAGCCTTCGAGTTTTTATGTGACATTTAATAGAAATTATTTGTGAAGTCTAGATTTTCTAGAGTCTTGTTGTCGGTGTTTCAGCGTATTCTTGTCCCCTCTCTCCACACAGTCTAACGCATGATCCAGTCCGCCACAATTTGGAATGTCACTGATGATAATAGATAAGCAGCCTCATCTTACTCCTGTCTTCAATTTAAAAGCCTTTCTTTTCTTCTCATATATATATATATATATCACCACTACGAACGTTATTCAGTCAAATTTCTGCTTAAGTCTCCTCCATGATTGAACAGATAGTGATTTTTGTTTACGTGTTGCCTTGTTGTTATCTTTCTAATTTGATAGAAAGTTTGAAAGTTTCTGTGAAATGCCACATATTTATTAGTGGTTTGTGGTAGTAATAATCAGATGAACTTTGTGTTTAAACTAGCCTTGATATGTCTTCACTGTGATTTATTCACACGCCAACTTTATAGAGAACGATTCAAAATATTTTCAACATACAGTGATTTAATGAGATAAGCGTCGAGTTTGCTTCGATTTACAAAATATTATAAATTTAGCTGCATGAGTCAAGTATTATCCTCGTATAAAGATAATTTGTGCTAGGATAAAAATCTATGTGGCTATTGTAACTGATGAATAACATCAGTCATTGTGCCCTCTGACTGTTATATAAAGGGTGGGACGTTGTCAATAAAAACTGAATTGTTCTGGCCAGTTTCGTTTTGGTGTCATCATTACTTGTATTTTTTCGGTTTTAGTTCTATTGGAACTTTATGAAATTGAGTTGACATAAAGTAATAGTAATGATAATAATTATTTCCCTGAGTTAGTTTTTAGGGATTTGATTCGTTTCACACTTGATCACGGGTTGATATCAGTTAGAGGACCACTGAAAGCCAAAGAGTAATGGGCAGTTATTCCATCGTAACTTAGATTTCTTGAAAATTAATCTGATGCTCACCAGTGAATGGCTACACAACGAAGATGTCTGGAATTCTAGTGAGAATTCGTGGCCTGGTCGAGAGTGAAGACTGATACTCTAATAATATTGGCTAGCATTTCGATAAAGTCATGAACTGGCAGAAGTAGAAATTCACGGGCCAGTTA